AGGATAACCACTGTTCATGTTGTTGAAGTAGCCGGCCATGGCGTCGGTCATGGCTTTCTGCATGAATTGGCCCATGACACTTTCCATTGCATTGCTGGTTGAACCAGATGCAGCTCTTTGAGTCTTTGGCTCAGCGCGACTCTCTGGGGTTGGCCGCGACGACTTCTTCTCATATTGGATGAGTTGACTTCGAAGGGAGCGTATCTCATCTGCCACTTCTTCAGGGTAGTCGGACATATCATCATTGTCGCGGCTATCGAACTGATCCAAGTAGTAGGAGTCTTGGAAGTTGACGGACTTGCCCTTCTTCTTCCAGTAAGCCTCTACTTGTTGTCCCTGAGTCCCTTCTCCATTTGGTAGGAAACTGTCGTCGAAGAGCCTCCACATCCCTTTGGTGTCGACTTTGAGAAGGTTTTTCTCAATGTGAGACCTCTTGAGTGGGCACTCGTTCGACCAGTGACCAGTTTGTCCACAGTAGCGACAGTCGTCGTTCCGTGCGGCAGCTCCTCCTTGTGCGCGACTTTCGAAGTGGGGCACAGAAGAGTTGTTGCCTACTGGCCGCGACCGCTGTATGGGCGCTTCGCGAGCAGTCTGTACGAACGTCTTCAACGCTTCCTGCAACTGAGTCTGTAGCTCTTTTTGGTGTAGAAGAAATGAATCCTTCAAGTTGGAAATCGAGTTTTCCAACTCCTCAACCTTAGCATGGTTGGGTGGACTAGTCTCATAGTCGAAGCGAACCTTAGGAGGTCGCGCGATTATGGGAATTTTGTCTTCGTTACTCAACGTCGACGCCATTTCTTCCGCCATCGTCATTAATTCTTTTAGCTGGATGGGGTCGTCCTGCCGATTGACTCCAGTCGCGGGGACATTAGCGTTTGCTATCCCGGCGCGAGTTTGATAGCGCTTGTTGAATACTTGACTCGTAGCCAAAGCGTTCCTCAAGACGGTACTGAACTCAGAGTCCAAAGTACGCATGTAGCGTTCACACGCGACTTTGTTGGTGATAATGGCAGGAGGGACTGACAGTCGCTTGTAGTGACTGTACATTTGAAGGCCGAAGCGCTTCAAATCTCCCTCATCCGTTATCTTGATTCCACGGTTCTCGCGACAGAGTCTGTCTAGATCCGCCATGGTCCCCGTTTTTCGCTTGGACACCTCAGGGTATCCTTTTAATATTTCGGCCTCGAACTCCGCGACAGTTTTCGTGTCGTCGGAATAGGTATCGAGACCTTCCCATACGTCCATTACTTGCCGCGACGGCAGGTAACAAATGTACATGCTTTTTGCTTGTTTGGCATCTGTGATGCCACCATCCTCCACGATCTGCGCGCAGTGACGCAAATATGCCTCAATCGACAGGGGATCCTTTTCATCAAGTATAGGTCTACTTGTGTCCCAAGGTTGAGGGATTTTGAACCCAGTCTTTGGAGCCATAGTTGTCGCGACTGAAGTCACAGGGGAAGTAGGGATGTTGTTAGAATTCGTGTTTGTAGCAGTGACGCTACTAGACAATTCTGAGAGGGTTCGTGAGCTAGTCTGAGATCGACTGATTGTCGCCGAACTCGAAGTAGCTGCGTCTAAAGCTGGAAGCTTCGACGTCGAATTCACTCTTTGTTTTCCTTTTGCCTTGGAAGGCAAGGGTGGTAGATACAAAGGTGTTTTATGTCTTGCAGACCTTCGTGGTTTTTCGAAAGGTCCTGAGGTTGGAGCGTTTCCTTCAGTCTCAATCTCCGCTTGGTCCTCAAGAGGTCGCGCAGGAGCTTGGGATCAAAATAAACTGCTTCGCGGGATAAACCCTTGGTCTCTATCCGACGTCGCGGTAAAGAATCCGGTTTATTGATTTTTAAAGTTTATGAAACTTTAGAAGCCCCTCGCGGTGGGCTCCAGATGAAATGCTGAGGGCGTGCTCACAAGTGAATCTACTATGAAAGTAAACCCAAATATAAAACACGTTCACACTCCTCGTAATCAGCTTCTCAGTGTGTGAAAGATGCGAGGGCTTCGGGGTGGACAGAGCACCAGTATCACAACTCTCAATAGACACAGGTCCAATAGTCGCGGAGGCGAAGTCGACGACAAGAATTTATATATAGCAAACAATGGTATCTCAACCAATATCTTCTATACGAACACAACCAACACTAATCCAATCCACAAACAAACAATATAACAAGTCAGAACTTAATACGAAGTATTAAGATCCCTTGTAGCGACAGCGTCTAGATGGTGACGCAAAGCCCAAATATCAAGTCGACGCACTGCCAACCGATACAACCAATATACTGAGTCGACGCACTGCCAACTAGTAGAACCAAAATGTCAAGTCGACGCACTGCCAACTGACACAACCAAAAGTACTGAGTCGACGCACTGCCAACTAGTAAACCAAAATGCCGCGTCGACGCACTGCCAACTAACAGCCAATATCCAATGTCCAAAACCCGAGCACAACTTGTCGACACACTGCCAAGCAAGAAGTGTGGAACCAAAGTTCTCAAGTCGACGCACTGCCAACTGACCAAAACAACCCGAGCACAACTAGTCGACGCGCTGCCAAGCTAGGGGTGTGGAACGATCTCAACAAAGCCCAAAGGCGACGACACTAAATGCCGCGACTAAACCAGATGCGGCGAATCCGACTTTCTGATGTCTCAACTCAAAACTCAAATCACAGTAGCTACAAGTGCTCGGGGAGCAACTCGTCGCAACCGGGCAGGGGTAGCAGAACTTCTTAGGGTGGAATCACGCGGCACGCAAATTGTACAAAACAATCTGATATGAGAGTGATTCACAGTCCGGGGGAAAGCTTTTTAATACAAAGAAACGTCGTGCTACTTATACTGTCTACGACGATGCTTAGTAAAGTCCTGTACAACTGCATAGTAGCTACGCTATCTAAGATCGGTTGCCTTTTAGGGTAATTGAAAGTTGAACGATCGGACAGGTCCTGAGTGATCAGGACCCCGCCCCATTGTCCATATGATACTTTTGATGTGGGCCAACTCACCGCGTCATACTTTTGGAATACGACGTGCTGGATTGGCCAACGGGTATATCTTGGCATGTGAGACCAACGTGGGCGCCCCAAGAAGCCGTATGGCCCTAGGCACGCCAGTCGTCCCCCACATGGTTCGGTTCACGGATCTAGCCGTGTCGATTTCTAGTGCGTTTGGGTGTTGACGCGAATCGCCGTGGCACTTGGGAGTGTCACCGCGACGCGTCCTCAATGTCCCGTGATCGAATGGGTCCTGACATGTGACAAGTCGTCGTCGTGGCATGATCTGAGGAAACGTCCAACTCAAAACCGGGAGTTGCCGCGACAAGATGGTTTAAGTCTCGTAACGCCAAGTCCTGTCCAGTAGTCGTTGTATTATTGAGAATCGTCGCACATTGCTCAGCCCTTCAGCCCAAGTTCCCATCTGCAGAGAATGACCCTTTTGAGAAGTCGACGCAACGACAGATCCCCTTTCTGGGGAATGGTCGCGGTCCAAGCGTTCGTCACTAATGGCCCTGAGCCTGGTGTAGACTCATAAGACCAGTTCCACAGTAGTGGTCTGACTGCCTTGCTATCGTCGACACTATCCACAGTCGTCGACTGGGCAGTAGACCCATAAGTCCTACTGAGCGCAACACTGTCAACCGCGACACGATACACCGAGTGGTTCAAGAGTAAACTCTGTAAAAAGCGCAAAAATACGCCCTTACAGAGTTGGTGCAGAGCGCGTCTGGTAGCCAGCCTATCACCGCGGGGGGAGAACCACGTGATGGCAGTGGTAACTGAGGTGTGGGCTTTTTCCACAAGGAATTTGGTGATGGCTAAAAACTTCCAGTAGAATTTGCTGTAGGTTGAACGGGACAGGTGTTGAACACAGAAAACTCAGATGGGAGCCGCAGGAGGCTAGGGGCACAGATGGGAGGCAAAAAGCCCAGTAGGTCACATTGATCTGATGCTATATACTATGCGTCACACCCTTTGTCCAAACCAAGCACACACAATATCCACACATCAACAACAGGATCCCAATGCTTGTGTATTCTCCAATAAGGGTGTGTAAATCTGAGATCATGTATCTGCAGTCAGTGTCCGTTCCCAGGTAAAGCTTCAAGATGTCAGCTTTGAACAACACGTAGGAGTGAGGTGCAAGGAAAGAGTCCAGCAACTCCTAAATTTCCTGGTTGTCCACTGAAAGGTAGCACATTGTGTGAGTCTTCTTTTCTTGGTCTGCTGTGACACCTGCCAGGGAGAAATGAAACTCCAGGTTGGTAAAGAAACGCAGCAGCTGTTGTGGCTGCTTAGCATTGAACTCAGGGGCACCTTGGGCACCTTGTGCTGGCATATTGGTGTTGGTAGCTATTTTGGGGAACTAAAGTAAGCAACAATGGGAGTGAAAGCAATGATGTAGGGGTGAATAATACAAGGGCGCCTTTTGGAATGTAGGCCCCTGGAGATTCTGGGAGTAAGACTTAGTAGTGAGAAATGGGGGTGAAATCAACTGACTTTCTATGTAGTGTTACAATAGTATTTACACTGTAGATATATGAATAGACACCTATTTGGGTTAGCTAGAAGGAATAAAAGGACACATGAGACCTATAATATAATAGCAATGTGAAACTGGAGAACTGCATTCTGAGACAAGTCCTGGGCTGATCTCAACCCTCAGGGCCTGCCTGGACCTTTCCAGGAATTCAGTCTTAGTTTGAGGACAATTTCTGTGGCAATCTTGCACCGTTGCACTGCGTTTGACAAATGGTTTGAAACCAGGAGCGTGGATTGTTATGTGCAGCCAAATATTGAGTGTTGATAGCTGATGGCAACACTGCCACCTGTTGTGTCAATCAGCTCCGGTCTGTTGACGTGGTCAAAGCAACCGCAGGCTTGTCACCAAGTTCTGAACTTTATCCTTGAATACACAGCACTTACTACCTGTTGTAAAGCTTATTCTTGGCTTAATGCTATGATGGTAAGCTGCCACACAGCTCTACCAGACTCAAACAGAGTACAGGTTGAAGGGCTAAGTCATGTTATCCCTAACTCATGCCACAGACAGATTATAAGTGAAGATAGACTAAAAGCACAAGCCCAATGCCTGCCTAAGCTCTCTCACACTTTGCTGCTCTGCCAACCTTAGTGCTTGGCTCAAACACTCCTTCTCAGCATACATCCGAGATTGACAGGCATAAGCCTTGCCAAGGAAATACCAAACCTCAGGAATATACCGGCCCCGGCCGCACACTAGGTGGGCAAGCATTCCAGCCACCATATCAACTTTTGCCCTGCCTCCATCTTTATCAGCAAGATATACAGCTGCCAACCCGACCGCCGCTGCGACACACTCCGTGTCAATCCATAGGGCCTTTTGGAGAGCATCTACTGCATGCTGCATCTGCCCCAGAGCTTGATGGTAGAGCCCCAACTGGACCCAGACTCCTGGGTTGGTCGCATCTTGGACTTCAGCCTCTTGAATCGCACCTTTGGCCTGCTCAATCTTACCCAGTCTTCGAAATGTGGCAGCAGACATGAGCCACAAATCACTCTCGAGCCGTGATTCTCGAGATACAGTGACAGGTGACAGTGAAGGTGATGGGGGAGGAGGCGAGACTTGGAGCACTGAGCCCGCCACTGAAGGCGCACCCGAGTTGAATCCTGAACCAGATCCTAATCCTAGCTTCCGCCGCGAGTGAATCGATGATGCCTGGTAGACTGTCTGCTTGAACACTGCATGGAAGTCGGGTGTCGACAGTGTACGCCGAAGCGCATTGCCATGGTGGCCTCGTACGCGACGCGAAATGGTGCTGATGCGCGCTTGTCCCTGATGCACACGGTTCTTGAGCATTTGTTGCATCTTCTTCTTGCCTGTTGTCGGGTCTCGCTCGACCGAGCTTCTTGCGTCTGATTCATCTGGAGTGGCAGGCTCGATCATGATTGGGATTGGAGGCGGAGGGACTGGTTGCGAATCTTCCTCTCGTGGCTCACTGTCTTTGCTGACGTGAGCGATATCTGACATCGGTGAACACAAGTAAGACAAGAGCGACACAGCACTTACCCAATCCACGCTGCTCCGCAATCCACTGAAATACTTCAAGCCATTTAGACTCGGCGCCTTCGGGGCCCTCCACGCGTTCAGTCAACACGGCATGTGTCATCCTTAGCTGCAATGCATGCTCAAACATCTCGGCCCGGGACGCTGGTGGATGATCTTGCACCGCCATCAAAAGCCCGTCGGACGGGGGCACGCCCATCTCATCCATCAACAACATATCGACCACCGGCTCCGTAACGGGTAGTCCCTCGATTCCGATAGCAGGAGAAACGACCGGCAAGGCCTCGGCGTGCTCGAGGATCTCATCCGCAGCCTTCCACTGTTCGCTTGCCGCAAGCAGCAGCCCTAGCAGATGCCAGTGTCGCACTTCTCCAGGATCCCTTTCGACTGCCAGTCCGGCGTTCGCCAGCGCCTTCTCTAGATCAAAAGCAGTCGCCCCTGGCCAGGCGTACGTCATCGCCAGGTGATAGTGACTGGCGGCGCCCGGATTCCCATCGACCGCTTTGACAAAGAAAGCGTGTGCTTCATCGACCTGGCCCGCAACGAGGCAAGACACACCCTCCGCCAGATCTACGCTCGCCACCAAAGCAATTGCGCTCGGATCCAGCCGGCCTGAGCGCACGGCCTTGATCAACGTCCGCGCAGTGACAACATCCCCGATCTTGCAAAGCATGCGAGCCCCGCTGACGAGGGTCTGTACGAAGTGGGTGTCTGTGTCGGCGTCCTCGGACAAGCCTGTCTGCGCAGCCTTGCTGACAATCTGTACGTACAGCAGGAGAGTCTCCTTCGCGAGATTTGTGTCACCCGAAACAGTAAGCAGGCGCGTGAGATGCCGCATGATGCGATGCGAGTTGAAAGTCAGTCGTGTGGCCCACCAGAGGTGCTGAGGCAGATGAGATCAATGCGTATGCGATCTAGCACACATACCTCGATGATCCATCCAGGCTCACCACCACCCACTTCCCACACCGCCACAATCAAATCCACGAAATCCTCCACCCGGGTGTTTCGTTCGCCTGCCTTGGGGAAACGAGTGGAAGCGGCCAGAACTACCCTCAAACCATCGACAATATGTTTCGAATCAGCCACATTCTTGGTGAGGACACAGGCTCGCAGATGCAGGGTTGCCACAACACACCGATGACCGGCACGGAACGATGCTGGCCATCCTGCGCTCAGCGTCGCATACAGCTCGAAAACGCGCCACAGCGCTTCATCGCGGGTCAAGGCCGCCAGAACGACTCCCCGCCACAACAGCATTTCTGTCCAACGCCACAGCTCGCAGGTGATGGCAAACGGTGGCGGGGGTCTCGCTACAAGAGGCAGCGCGTTTAGATACGTCGACAGCGCGCTGGTCACGTCTCCTAGTTTTTCTTTTGCCATGCCTGATAGTACTAGTTAGATCGCATCTCAATTACAACAGGAACTGACCATAAAGACACACACTCCTCATGACTTCGATCAGACTCCACAACCCGACCGCATCGATGCTCTCTCCATCAGGACCAGTCGTTGTCGTCGAAAGCTGACTAATGGTCCAAGAAGTGGTCGGATCCATCGCAGTGACCTTGAGCGTCGCCGTACGCCGATCACCGTCGTCTCCCGATGTGCCAACAGTCGCAACATCGGAGAGCTGTCCAAGATGCGCCAGACATTCTGCAGTGTCACCCAGCGCATAGGCCAGATATGCCAGCGTCCGTCGAGTCGTCTACCAAGGTAAATGACACGAGAACTTGAGCAATTTGGAAACGCACCGGAGACTCTTCACCGTTCCCTGCTCCCGACTTCTTGAGTGACTCGTATATTGCCCTCGCCTCGTCACAGTGTTGGGATGGAACCATGACACTATCGCCGAGGTGCACAGGTAATTCCGCCTCGCTTTCTGTCTGTAAATCGCTCATTCCTCCTCCTGCCCCCCCTGTATCTCCTGACCCACTGTCGAGCAAAAGCCCAACTGTCCAAACGCTCTCCGCCACCTCCGCCATCTCCCGCGCCTTCGTTAAACCAGCCGCATAGGTATGCTTCCTGAACTTGCGCAGAACCTCCCCCCAACTCAGTAGCTGCCCATTCGGCGCCTTGGCGGGAAATGCCGCCGCCCAATCGCCTGTCGCAAGTGCGCGATGAAGGGCCTCAAGATAATATCTGTCTTTGCCACCGGATGTCGAGTTTGGTATATGATTGGAGACATTAGGAGGAAGAGTTGTAGAGGGAACTGGGAGAGTGACTGGGTTGGGTGTGGCCATGGGAGTAATGTTGGAATAAGACATTATGTTGAATTGTGATGCAGGCTGGGAAGCTAGTGTTTATTGCAGGCCGGAGTCCTTGAAGAGATGTTTCAGAGAGATACGACAGCTTCCCCTGTCGTCTCCTCGTCTGTAAGAGACTGAACGACGGCCTTCTGTTGTTGGTGCGTGAGGAGGATATGATAAGATTGATCAATTGATTGATGTAACACTCTTGTCCAAACACCTCCATCCGTCCTTCCACTCTGCTCAGTCTCTCAGTGAATCTCAAGCGCCTGTTCTTCGATCGTGAATCAGACCGAAATCGCTACTATGTTAATTAAAGTCAAGGTAAGGTTCTTTTCGATCTATCATACAGTCGCTTTGCCATCACTGACCTGGTTCACCAGACACTGACTGGGAAGGAGGCACGTTGGTTTCTTCGAGTGAGATGGCAAATGACCCTAAATCGATGCACATATATCTACAGATCGAGCTGGACATTGACCCTGAAGACAAGGTTCTACTCTCCTATACTACTTCCTGCATCACTATCGCTTTCTTCCATACATTCGGAACCACCACATCTTTGCCTTGCCACGATATCTGAGGCTACCCCATTTTAGATCACTCGCATCAAGGAGAAAGTCGAAGAACAGTCCGGCGTCCCCCCTCCCCAGCAACGGCTGATCTACTCTGGGCGTCAAATGTGCGTTTCCTGACATGTCTTGCCATTCACCTCTGATTCGTGCTCCTCGCGACGATACCCGTTCCCAATTTTCGAGGCAAGCACATCGCTGATCATTTACTACAGGCCCGATGACAAGACTGCCAAGGATTTCAATATCAACGCCGGCGCCGTGCTGCATTTGGTGTTGGCCTTACGTGGCGGTTGTTGAGGATTCCTTCGAATACACAGAGGGATACGATTGGAGGAGAGAGAGAGTCACTGCTGTAGATTGATTGAATCGCTAACAACTGAACGACATTGTAACAACCTAATATAAGGCCCATGCGGTTTCTGACCAGCCACTCTTGTCAGGCTCTAGCCCTTCATCAAAGGTTTCCTTGTGTGAGCCTGTCTGGGCGAAGCGCCTGGATCGAAACAAAATCATTTGACACAAGTCGGAGCTCTATGTTTGTTTGTCCGTATGATAAAGCACATAGCACGCGTAAATTAGTGTCCATTTCCATTTTCATTCGTCCCGTTGACTCCTTCCACCTTGCTTAACGCAGCATCAGCTTGGGCCAGATCGCGTTCGCTCAGACTACGGAATGCTCCGCCACCGGGCGTGCTCGCTCCGCTCATCACGCTGCCCGCACGACTGCGTACTTTCATGACCAGCGGGCTGAAGACTTGTGAGCTCCAATGATGTGCGGACAGAAATATAGTACACACAAGGGATACGAATCCTCTTCCTCCTGGGAGCCAGGCCAGTTGAAGCCTCTGTAATCGCTAGTCTCGAGGGTTTGCATCTACAAAATTTCAGATGTCAGGCGAGCAAGAAAAAATCACAACGCACCTCTTCAGTCAACGTCCCAATGTCACCTGGCGTTGCCGTCCCTTTAAACCTGGGGCTCGCCGGAACGCTTGGTGCCATCCACCCTTGCCGTTCCCCGAAGTAATCACTGCCCTCTTCAGCTTCGTCGGTAAACGCGTCTGGATAAGCCCTTCTCAAAGCCAGCAGTCGCGATTTGCTGTATTCGATTCCCAAATTCTTCCAATCCAACAGCGGCGAAAGACGCTCAACACGATTACGCTGAAACTACTTCAGCCACGGCTCATGTTCCGCAGACAAAGACCGAACCTGATTAATGCGCTGTCGACGAGTTTTCTGCGTGAACAAGTGCATATGATCGGCTAACTGCTGCACCGAATCCTCGACAGACTGTGATCTGCGGTCAACAATGTAGCATCCTTCATCTTGAGGACGCTCAATCAGATCCGCCATAAAGCACCCAAATCCAGATAAATTTGTCGTGATTGACGGTATGCCCATCTAACAGACAAGGATTATGTTTGTGCTCAGGCACGAATGTAGCCACGTACCACAGTGCACTCCGCTGGAGTGTATCCCCAAGGCTCGTAATAGCTCGGGAAAACCCCGAGATGCGTGCCTCGCACGAATTCCTCGTAGTCTAGCCCAAGAATAGGGTTCGAGCTGTTGAGGAAATCTGGGTGGAAAACGATTTTCACGCGATCCGACGCAGAGTTGAATAAGCGAACTCGGCGAATCTTAGTAAACATAGTTCAGCCTGCGAGAGGGAAAGAGAGATTGAAGCAGATCTGACTTGATTCAGTATCGGATCGTTGTTGTCGTCTGCCATGTTGTGGGTTGTTACAGGAGGCAGACTGTTGCGCTTGAGGGCAAAGATACGACGTTTAAGCAGTACGAGATCCTCGTCCGACAGAAGAGAGGAGACGTCGGGTAAACCAGCAGATGATTCTCTGCAATGCGTAAGGACAGCACGGGAGGAACACGGATGGGCGTCTCACGATTGGAATCTTGCCGCGGTTTCAAACAGTCTTTCGCCGATGCGGTTCTGAATCTCGGTAACCGCGTCCCGCAGTTGTTTGGTGACAGCTTGCCCCTTCAGCGCCTCAACAGTGTAGCTATGTGTTGCGGCAGGCATGATGATGAAAGCGACCACAGTTGTTTTTGAATTTCTGTGACGTCTGTGAGTCACCTGGAGGTGATAAATAGGAAGTTTCGAACGCTTTCTGAAGGAGATAATTTAGACGAGCCAAGGCCTCAATAAACATGTCGACACCCTTGTTCCGATATTCATAACGGCCTGCAGTAAACATCTGATCTCCGGTAAGTGTCAAAGTAAGAGCAGCTGCGTAGAAACCATACGTAGAGAGTGTGGTCCAAGTCGAAGTTGTAGTGACCGTAAAAGTGACCCCGGACAAATTCATCAATCTTGGCTTTGGAGGTCGCGTGGCGGTTCTGGAATTCGTGCATGGCCTGAAACTTGACGACATTGAGCCCGTTCGGAACGACACCATCGGGTTTCCTCTTGAGAAGATGCTCAGATTCGTAGGCTGTGATATGAGAAACCGTGGTGAAAACGTCAGCGCAATGCGTCGCACTGCGCTCTATGCAGTAGCGGTGATAGATGCCGCGTTTGCCCGCTTCGTGATCAACGTCAAAGTATTGGAGATTGTTGTAAAAGTCGACGCTACCGGCGCAGAGATAGCGACCGAGAAGGGTAGCGTGAGTGGTGAAAACGGTGGTGACGTCGATATGGCGCTTCCGGCACAAAGGAATCGCAACACCAGCTTGCCACTCGTGAAAATGAGCCACGACAGCAGTGGTGAGCTGGCGGGAGACATAATCCCCAAGGAACCACGCGACGATGTAGCCAAATACGATGGTCTCGTTCGTCTCTGTGTCATTGGGCGGGGAAGGAATACCAGCGAGGTTCCACAAATCGCCCTTCCACTCGTCAAGACGGTTATACATCGAGCCCGTGTCGAATAGTAGAACGTGAGGCGCGCCTTCGATGAGCCAACGTCCATACAAGCACTTCACGCCCTGCGAGCGCATTGAATCCAATGTCGCGGCGAGGTGCGGATCGGTGGGATCCTCGGCCTCTACCTCCATCGGCGCGGACTTATACGAGAGCGGGCCAATGAGACAGTATCGGTCGCCGTATTCACTGACTGTGACTGGGACTTTGGTCTTGATGACTGTGTATATGCCGCCGACCTTGTTGGCAACCTCCCAGGCACATTCGAATAGTAGACTTCGCAAAAGTATGAGAAAAAAACGCGTTGAAACCGGGGCATAGGACGTACGGGTTGCGAATGTCGCGAGACATGGGTGTAAGAGCAACAAGGAAAGATCGTGACGTAAGATCTTGACCCCACATCTCCTTTCTCCACACCTCCACATACCATCGGTAGCCACCGGTGGGCACGTGGCCCAATTTGTCGCGGTGCACCCCAGGCGAGAACTTGGATTTTCCAGCGTTGACGCGCCTGATGCCGGGACTTATTCTGCGTTCAAATGTTCTGCGCTCAGCTTGCATTATACACCAGATTCAAAGGTGCAACGCCGAAATGATGGATGTACCAGTATCAGCCTCCGTATAATCATCAAGCGATCATAGCAGTCAGTCTACACGATACAAGTTATATCTGCTTTTTCTGCTGCAGGCTCTTAGGGAGTTCCTTCACAAAAGGCAAGAATGTCCGTCCCTGCATGTAAGGCTGCAGCACTGGCGGAATTTGGAGTCCCTGCGAAGTGATGAGCTCCATGTGGTCGTGAATATCATGGTCCATACCGCATCAGTCTGGTAGTTCTCCACGATACAACACAGAGCCCGTTCTGTTGCACAAAGCGTTCCATTGAGCATATGCACGTAGACCTTACGCGCCTGATCCTTCGTTTTGATCCCACACCTCACTTCGAGCCGCCGGCTCTCTACAACCCTAATCAGTTATGCTCGAATGCCTGTCAGGAAGTGAACACTGACGGTAGTCCGTGCAATTAGAGCAAGAAACCAGCTCCTTGTGCTCTCTCTGGAAAGGGAACCAAGCTTCGAGATCGAACTTTTGGGCAGCAGCGAGATTGAGAGCACCCGAAACGATGGCCACAACGCGGTATCTGATCCCAAGACTTTGGTAGAATGCCTCGCTGTTCTCGATCATCGAATCAAATGCCTCCCAGCTCTTGTCGGGTGCGGTCAGGAGGAACTGCTCAATCTTCTCGAACTGGTGCACTCGGAAGATTCCCCACATATCGCGTCCGGCGCTACCAGCTTCTTTTCTGAAGCATGTTGAGTAGCCAGCATACTTGATTGGAAGTTGAGTTTCTGGCGATTCGAACCATTCCTCAGAGTGGAAAGCAGAAATTGGCTGCTCAGAAGTTGCAATCAGATACTTCTCGTCGTCCGAGCCAACAACCTGATCTGAAATCAGTCCGATCAACGTGCAGCTATCGTTGGTCTACTGACTTTATACAGTTCCTCGTCAAATTGATCCAGCTGTGCGGTTTTGGCCATCTGTTCCTTGTTCATCATGAAGGGCGGCTGGATCTTTTTGTATCCCTTTCCTCGCAGAAAATCGAGAGCGTAAGCAATGAGAGCCTGGTTCAGATCTACGCCGTCGTTTGTGAGGAAGTAGCCTCGGTGTCCTGCAATCTTTGCACCTGCGTACGAATCTGAGCCATCTTCCGTTGAATAGACTCCGCCTTCGTACCACGGTCCAAATCCATAGCGTCGAGTCTGAGGAGAACTTCATGATGAGGCATGATACCGGCTCGTACCGGCGGTTCATCGTTCTCTTGTTCCGGGTGCCAGGTTCGAATGGTGACATTGTCATCCTACTCTATAAGCTAAGCAGTTGGATTGACTTTCCAAATCGAAGGACAAACCTCAGTCAAGCTGACAGGGACGCCTTTTGCGACGATGTTGCCCACAGTGCTTGCTTTACGACGCATCGTCAGTTCAAATTCCTTCGCCTCTTTCCTGAGAGAATCCACTTTCGTATCCAACTCCTTCTTCTGCGCCACAAGCTCATCTGCAGAGTCTTTGGCCTGAGAGATTTGAGAAGCTCGAAGTCGGTTATCGATCATGCACCACTACCTTTTTCTTGGATGCAATTTGTTTCTGCATATCGTTGACCTCTTTCTTGATCTGATTCGCGTCAAAGTCCACTGGGAATCGGAACCGGACGTTAAGCGAGCGGTAACGAGTGGCACAGTGTAGAACGCGCACTTTTCACCCAATCTGCATACATCTGGATGATTTCATCGACCAGCTCGACCGATCCGCCACGACTACGCTGGGACTCCCGAATCTCCTGAGAGTTACCCCCCTTGTTGTCGATGAACTGCAGGATATCGAGAGTCATCTGGTTATGTGGTAGCCGTTGTTATCAAAGCGAACTTGTTTTGTGACTCGCAATCCTTGAGATCATGATCACCATCAGCTTGACGCGTATCACGTAATACAGGTAGGATCACGCCGGGGTGATGCCGATATTTGCCTAGCCCAAACACTCATCATGGCCTCCCTCCGTTTAGTCGCCTCCGCTGTGCGCCGTGCGCCCGCTGCACTGTCTCTTGGTAAACGAGGCTATGCTGAAGCGAGTGACAAAATCAAGCTCTCCCTCGCTCTTCCCCATCAGGTTCGTTGGCCTGCCAAGTGCAGCTCACGCAAAATTCATGGCCTCTTTCTAGTCCATCTTCTCCTCCGCCGATGTCGTGCAGGTCAACATCTGTGCTGCCACTGGTGACATGGGAATACTTGCCAACCATGTTCCGTCCGTCGAGCCTTTGCGTGCTGGAGTTGTTGAAGTCATAGAGTCCAGTGGATCCAAGAAGTGGTTTGGTGCGTCGCTTCCGCGCTTGACATTCCTCTATCTTAACTTTGACAGTATCTGGGGGATTCGCTACCGTGCACCCTGGCAACAAGCTCACTGTAAATGTCGTGGAGGCTGCACCGCTGGAGGAGTTTTCACCGGAGGTTCGTGTGTGGCTGGCTCACATCACCTCACCTCTCTCATGTTTCGTTCAGGCCATCCGCACTAACCTCCAGGAAGCTCTTCGTGTGGCTGGCGGCAACGGTTCAGAGGAAGACAAACTTGAAGCGCGTATTGAAGCTGATGTGTACGAGGCACTGCAGCATGCTGTAGCATCGAAGTAATTCCTTCTCGTCCCCTACATGAGCTTAAAATAGAAGATCACAAAGCTCCTTGTTCCGAGCATTCTGCGCTGCTAAATTGCCAACTGAGACCAAATGGTCGAGTCAGGCCGATCGATCGTCCGTGTAACCTTTCGCAATCCCGCTCCTTCCCTGCTCCAGCACACTGGGCGCGTCTTTCCCTAGTCGCATATTCAATCCTTGAAAGCTCCTTTCCTGTAAAGCTTGGGCTTGAACGGATACGAATGAGCTTCAATACCTAGCTAGTGCGTAACTCTTACATACCACCAAAATTCTCGGCTAGAGCAACTGCGGAATCTGGGTTGCGTATTGTCAAAGCATCCAGTGATTCGGACAAGCCACGATTGTTGGTTTTGGTATCGTGTTTGTTCAGGCCAAATTGCTTTACAGTGCGATACTTGCCTGAGACGAGGGAGAATGTAGGTCGCTCGCTGTTGACATCTTCGGTTTCAGATTTGTCCTCTTCACTCGGAGAGGTGACATTGGCTTCGGAGAGAAGTGATCCAAAGTCGAGAACATAGCGGCCGCTCCAGCTGTGTTCCGCCTGCAACGCAGTCTCAAGCTCGAATGGTGTCACGACCGGACGCAAAAATTCCTGTAATCATAGTTCAGTGAGGAACGGAGAACCAGACTCGCCACACTTTGTTGTCAATGAGGGAGTTTTCGGGACATGCCACAAGCACAAAACATTCGACTTCAATAAAATTGGCGAGTTTGGCCGGATTGAGTTTGCCCACGCAGAGGGTGTAGCTTTTCTTATTCGCGCGCGATATCAATCCCCGGAGATGCTTGATGAGAGGAAGATAAGATGCTTCGGACGAGTCAGACGGAGTGGAGAGATGGGAAAGGGGAAGACTGACCCACACCGAGAGTTCCAACAAGAATGCCGAAAACATCGCAATCGCGCGCTTTCTGGACAATTGCGTACCGCCGCATGAGAAGGCGGTTTGTGATCGAGGACTCCAGACGTGCTGTATTGTTTATGGGATCATACGAGTACACCTGAAATGTTCAATCGTCACGAGGAAAGTTGGCTTCAGCACTCACATTGACGCCGGAATGTGTTATGAGGATGTTGGCCAAGCGAAGCCCTTCGCCACCGATGTATACGATGCTGGAGTGGTCAGAAGATCGGGGTCCCTTGGTCTCGATTGAGGTAGTTGAACCTGGTTCGAATGAGTGTGTGATCGATTTCATGGCTATTGGAACTTGAAGCTTTGAATGAAGAGCATCGCGGAGACTAGCTATCCCAACTAAATCAGGTGATATCAGAGTAAGGGAAATCAAATCACCCATGCGGTGCGAGTAAGCCCCTTCAAACATCAGCTCCACACTGGCGCCGTCGAGCTCCAATACTTTGGACAAGGCGGAGACGCAGTGGTCGATATTGATACCCTGCTTGCCAAAGACATAGATCACAGGAAGACGGGATGTCCTGAAAACTACTGTGACTGTGATTGAGGATCGGTCAAGAGAGATGTACGGACTTGCTCATGCAGGCGCGACCATAATGTACAACAGCTTCAGCATCGACATGTTGCGCTGCCACTTCATCTACGCAGCAGCTAATGGCATCGATTCAGAAAAATACCAGGGAACATACACCAGAAATACACCTACCTCCCATACGATGTGTCCGCCAGTACATAGAACTCCCTCCCCATCCCTCCAAGTGCACCTTTCAATCTCCGATACACCGGCACCGAATCATGAAGGAGATCATCCGGAAACTGAAGTGCGATTCGCTTGTATTCTGCCCGAGATATTTCCTCAATCGTGCGTGGAATGTCGTAGTATTCATCCAGTTCAGGAGGTGTGAAGAAGGTCACAGGCGCTCCCGGAGCGAGTGGAAGCGGCCGAGAGATCACATCGGTGTCCGATGAAGAGAATGCAGCCATCTTTGGAAATGTTGTGTTCGTAAGACTAGATTTTAGAGCAGCACTCCCCCAATCAGCAATCTTGTGCGAGGAAGATCGTAACGATCAGAGCGACGTCGGCGAACGCCGCAAGGGCAGAATCGCATCATTTCATCACAGCCACTCTACTGCTCTACCACCATACCACCATGCACGCCTCTGTAGCCCGCCGCACCCTTAGCGGCCTTGTGCCTCCCAAAATTGCCACACCTAAGCTCGTCGTATGTTTACATGAGTTTTTACACCATTCACTGGCTCAACGCCACATGTTTGTTTTCAGTCGGGCGACTCCGCCGGTCCCCTTGGTCCGCTTGTCTCCTTCTACTCGAAACTTCCCAAGGGCCCCGCCCCCGTGCCGGCTGTGCAAGGCATAAAGGGACGCTACTTCAGTGGAAAGAACGCCAGTGCGAAGCCTGCTCTGGTTCTTATCGGTGGATTGTGGCTTCTCGGGTACACCATAGACTACCAGAGTGCGTCTGTTCGGCATTCTTCGGGGCCATTTCATTGTGCTGATGTCTCAATTTCTGACTGCAGTGCACCTGAGTGAGGCTGAGCAAGCCATCTTTACATCCTGGGCATTTACTAACGTGTCTGCCAGAGCACCACAAGAACAACGCGCACTAGAGTGGCATGGCTCTGGACGGAGCATGAATGGTAGCCGAGCTTGCGCACTGCAGAACTGCTGTAGATATCGAAATGGAATGATCCTCGATTTATGCCTGCTCCTGAATCGTCCGTTGCTTTCCTGGCTTTGGTGGCCGCAGTCCAGACTATGTTGAACTTTCGCCTCCTTTCTTCGTGAGTTGGCAAGCGTTGCACTTGATCATCAAGTTGTCCCGCTCGTTCATGGTGTGCACCTCACAGTGCTGGTAGCTAATGAGTTTGTGCCGACAGTTCGTATCCAAGCAGAGCAAAGCTCCTTTCAACAATCGCCAGATCCAAGTAGAGATCACTGTCTCTTTCAGCTTACTCAGACAAGCTTGGACTCTGCCACCTTGCTCTGCATCCTTTTTTCTACCATCACACCCATACTCGAACTGTTGCAAATCCAGGGGACGGGGGCACAGGCACTGGATCTGCTTCCAGCCTGCGTTCATCGCGCGGTCGTATCCTACATCCTACCTCGGTCTCACGAGAAGGACGGGCCCGCGCTTATATGAGTGAAAATCTATCGGCCGAGTGGGATTGGCAGGTCTTTAACGAGTATCGCATTGGATTCCGACTCCGGGGAAGACGAGAGCATTCAGAGGGGTGGTGTCATGGGGAGTCTCGCTTACGAGCTGTCCCTCTGCCACGAGCGCTGCTGGGATCGCCGACGGACGAGCTCTACAGACTCATTGAAGACAATCCGTCCCCAGTCCAATTCTCGGAGTCTGGCGACTATTGCCACCCACCCGGCGGTCGCAAAGTCACAGCAGACTGAACCGACTAGATTGCAGGTCAAACGGAAACGTTCGCAAGCTTTGGACGGCGCAGAGAAGTTTGGCGGGGAGGAAACCGAGGTCAAGGAGCGTTTTCTACACCGAAGGGCCGTGGAGTCTTCGGGTTTGGAGGGAAACAGTGGCATCAGCGAGAAAATCAGCACCTCAGCAAGACATCTTCCTGGCGAGAGAACACGATGTTAGTCAAAACTCCGGCGGTGAACCAATCCAATATAGCAATGGGAGCATCGACCCGCCTACTTCCTATTCGTTTGACCGAGTCCCAAATCTTCGGCGGAGGAACTATGCGTACAATCACAGACGCACTGTTCGACGAGAATCGTCAGCTGCGTATCGTTTCCGGCTCTAGGACTACCCAGTTCGCGTTCTCTGCATTTCGTTCCAAGGTGGCCGGTCTGCATTTGAAACCTGGGATCTATGCAAGGACAAGGATCAGTCATGAGTGGTTGAAGATCTCGAGTAATCACGGGACAGAACTAAAACAATCCGGCTATCGGGGATTTTCTGGTCGGCCCGCTGCTGCCCGCTGCTGCTAGAGCTGCATTTGGCCGATCCGCCAAAATGGCATGAACTGCCAATTTCTCAACCGGGCGCGACGATCGTCGATCTCACATATATCAGTACGAGCGTTGCGCCGACGCATCCGCCCTCGATTCAAAGTAGGCAGCAGCTTCCGCCTTTCTCAATCCGCTACGAAGGAGCGACGACGATCACCGCCACCGGCGAATTTATACCTATGGACCCCAGTAAAGGCATTGCCGTTGGCGCCACCTGGCATAAAGGAGCTGCAAAGCCGGAGTCACAAGGCAAACAACATCGTAGCTGGTCGTGCCCTTTCGTGATCCCGGTTCC